AAAACTCATAACAGCTGATCGCCCGCCCATTCATTATGGAGGAGTGAACCTTTAAATTGAGATACCGATTACAAAGAAAAAGTTACTAATCCCATCAAAAACAATACTTGTCAAAAAAACCAAGTCTCGCAACTCAGTTGTTCTACGGGAAAAAGTTGTGAGATCCATGTAATACCAAGTCCAGGCCAGGAAATCTTTCACGTTTTACATAAATTATTGACTTGGCCATCGCACTAAATAATTTTATTTACACGTGTTTTCATGCGATGGCCAAGTCAATATATTTATGTAAAACGTTAAAGATTTCCTGGCCTGGACTTGGTATTACATAACCTAACCTATTTAGTTAGGTATAGTGTGTTATTTGAGGTNTGGGAATGTTAGTTATGAAACGGATGCATGCATTCTGAACCCGCTGTATGCTTCTCTTCGTCTGTTCCACGAGTTTCGGTCCATACACTATGTCACAGTAGTTGAACTGTGACAAAACCAAGGTTTCTGTAAGAATCTCTCTGGTGTTCTCAGATAAGTGCTATCTTAACCTGTACAGTGATTTAAGACGATAGAAGGCATTTCTGATCTTGGTGTTAATGAAAAGAACATAATCCTCAATACGTGCGCCTAATTATGTAAGTATTACATATCATGTTAAATTTTGTCTAAGATTGCTATCCAGACCAAACTCATTCAAAAAGATACAAAAATATTGAACATGTTGCTTGTGGCTCCATCTGCGTTGTGTTCGTTTTTGTCACAGATAATCTCCACGCTATCGGGAATCCCTCGGATCTACTTTATGAGGGTAATTTCCTGGAAAAAGGTACTTATCTAACATCTTTCCCCAAAGCATAATCTATCGCCATTTTCAAATTAATTCCCTTTACAAAAAGAAGCGCAGATTATTAAATATTGTAGCTTAAGTAGATGTTATAAGAAAACGAGCTTGTAACAGTGCTTACGCGTATTTTAGTTCCAGTCTCGAGCTAACAAATGCTAGCTGTAGCGAGCTAGCTTCGAGAGTTAATAGGTTTCCGAAATTCGACAACCTCTGTTTAAATAATTCACCTCGGTCTTTCATATTTGTTACTTTCGCAAGATTACTCTGATGCATTGAGAATTATAGTAAAAGTACAACTTAGGTATTAATTACAATATCAAACGACTTATTGAGGCTGAGTTGCACTACCAAACTTTGACCGAAACTATAAAGATAACCGGTGGTTTTTGTATGGATTTTGACGTTTGTTACAGTAAAAGTAAGATGGTGCAACCCAGCCTTAGTGTATCAATTATCTGTTTTCACGCCAATCTGCCCTTGTTATTCACTTCAAAAATTCCAATAGTTCCCAATTTTGCACATTCTTAAAATATTTGTTCATCTATACAGGGTGTTGATTTCAATACCCCCAACCCCCAAATAGTCCCCCAACGCAAACGGCGCGCGGCGCTCACCCGGTGACACATTACATGGATCTCACAACTTTTTACCGTAGAACAACTGAGTTGCGAGACTTGGTTTTTTTGACAATTATTGTTTTTGATGGGATCTCATTTCTTTTTGTATTTTGTAGACAGCAGTTATGTATCTAGAAAACTGGACCGAAATTGAAAAATTTTACTCGACTTGGCGGTTGCACTACCGTGCCCCCAAATCTCATTTCTTTTTGTATTTTGTAGACAGCAGTTATGTATCTAGAAAACTGGACCGAAATTGAAAAATTTTACTCGACTTGGCGGTTGCACTACCGTGCCCCCAAATAACTTGTAAGCGATTTGTCAACTGAAGCTTTTATTTTGGCCTTGCGCCGATTCATGTCACGCCGAGGAAAGCCTCGCCAAATCTTTTGTGACAACGGCACTAATTTTGTTGGAGCTAGTCGAGAGATTGCTCGGCTTGTAGAAACCTGTAGTCCTTCAATGTCAGACCTTGCAAACGAAGGTATTAATTTTAAGTTTTCACCGGTTTATTCACCGCATTTTGGAGGCCTATACGAAGCAGCTGTGAAATCAGCAAAATTTCATATGAAAAGGGTTGTAGGGAACACGCATTTAACTTTCGAAGAGCTAACGACTCTATTTGCGCAGATAGAAGCCATCCTCAATTCTAGACCTCTAGTTCCACTATCTTCCCATCCCAATGACCTTTCCCCTCTCACTCCCGGGCACTTCCTCGTAGGGAGACCTCTAACGTCATTGCCAACGCCTGATTTAAAGGACGCTAATCCAAGCCGTCTTCACAGATATGCCCGCATAGAGCAAGCCAGGCAGCATTTCTGGACAAGATGGAGCCGGGAATACATTTGCGAACTACAACAACGCACCAAGTGGCAGACCAAGCACCCTAACATCGAGCCTGGCCAACTGGTGCTAATAAGAGACGAGCGTTGCCCGCCATTGAAATGGCCACTCGGGCGCATCACATCGGTGTACCCAGGTTCCGACGGCGCCATCCGGGTCGTCGACATTTTGACATCGCAGGGTCAGATCCGTCGAGCTATAAACCGGGTCTGCCCCCTGCTAGACGAGGAGTAGCAGCGGCACGATTCTTCGAGGAGGGCGGAGGTTGTTCACAAGAACATCACTACGCCGCGTGCCCCACCGCCCGCGCCCGCGGGGCCCCGCGCGCGCCTGTCACATCTCTTTTGTTTTTACATCGTTCACATCAGAGCAACTACGCAATTTTAATGTATTTCCTTGTAACAAGATATTCTTGGTAGTAAACCGTTTGAAACACGAAACAGTGTCTCCTTCATCTATAAGAATCCCGAACAGAAGTGTATCATCAAATCAAATCAAATCAAATCAAATCATTTATTTCGCTTGAAAGTGGTACATGTAAGTGATGGTAAAGTAGATTAGAGTAGTATCACACATTTCGCCAGAGTATGGCATGCAAAAATATAAAATTTAAACAATGTCATTTTAAGTAATTATGTCAACAATAAAGTTATTAACATCAAATAGAACACAAATATTAGATATGAATAAAGTCACCGAGTATGTAGTCAAAAATTAGAATATAAATATCAAGGTTACAACAACTTCCCTGATTTAAAATAATTAAAATATTCGTCCATTGAGTAAAAACATTTTTCTATCAACCATCGTTTGAGAGTGCATTTAAATTTGTTTAGTGGGAGTATTTTCAAGTCATCTTGTAATTTATTATATACTCAACATCAAATAAACCGCACCTTCCGCGACGCGAACTTAAACGATTTTCTTCTGACACAATCATGGTACCCCAACAATATTGGTGTTATTTGAAAGCCCAATAAATATCCTTAAAGAAAAACACATTTAATTTCTTAATAAATGATTAACATATACCATAAATGTGACTTGAAAAAATACCTCACTTTGGGCCCACCTATGGGATCAATTAGACCAATTTTTATGGTTATAAAACTAAATAATGATCTCACGTGTTCTCTTTAACAGATGGATAGCGATTAATCCCAACTTAACAGTTTTATAGCCATAAAAGTTGGCTCTAGCGTAACTACCTATTTTTTGAAGAAGTGACTCTGGATCCTTCTAAAGACACATTTTTGGGGTAAAAACTTTTCCTTTAATGAAATGAAGGTTAGAACTAGGCTTTTAAATGGTACCAATAATGGTGGGAAGTGGGGATGCATACGTTTGAAAATGCTTTTCGCGGGAGGTGCGATTGATTTGACGTCGAGTGTATATGTTTATTGCCATACAGTACGTACTCCGACTATAAAGCGTTGTAGTGTTGATGGGCAACACAAGTGCATTCGGGTATCTTGTATTAAATCTGCAAACATTTTTCTTCATCACAAATAATCCCAGATTGGTTTTGACGAAGACACAAATCTCATATATGTATATACAAGGAACAGTGAGCAGCCCTAGTGTTTTAAATAATGGTCTACAAGATGTTAAACCATCAACATTGCAGATGGCTCGGATGCATTGCTTTTGTGCTATAAGTGCCCGGTTGACATGACACGAGTTTCCCCAAAGGTAATTATGTCAACAATAAAGTTATTAACATCAACAAATAGAACACAAATATTAGATATGAATAAAGTCACCGAGTATGTAGTCAAAAATTAGAATATAAATATCAAGGTTACAACAACTTCCCTGATTTAAAATAATTAAAATATTCGTCCATTGAGTAAAAACATTTTTCTATCAACCATCGTTTGAGAGTGCATTTAAATTTGTTTAGTGGGAGTATTTTCAAGTCATCTTGTAATTTATTATATATTTTTATTGCCATACAGTACGTGCTCCGACTGTAAAGCGTTGTAGTGTTGATGGGCAACACAAGTGCATTTGGGTATCTTGTATTAAATCTGCAAACATTTTTCTTCATCACAAATAATCCCAGATTGGTTTTGACGAAGACACAAATCTCATATATGTATATACAAGGAACAGTGAGAAGCCCTAGTGTTTTAAATAATGGTCTACAAGATGTTAAACCATCAACATTGCAGATGGCTCGGATGCATTTGCTTTTGTGCTATAAGTGCCCGGTTGACATGACACGAGTTTCCCCAAATAATTATGCCATACCTTAATAAAGAACATACATATCCGTGGTATGCTTGGATTGCAATATTCCTTTCACTAACTCTTCCAAGGCGCCATAGTGCATATGCAAAAGAGTTTATTTTATTGCAGAGTTTATTTATATGTTCTAGCCAAGACAATTCATCATCAATTTTGATACCCAGGAATAAGGCATCCCTCGACTCTTTAATGGTATTCGAACCAGAAACAACATGTAAAGAGTGTTTGTTACCATTTTTGTTAATAAATTGTATAAATGTCGTTTTTTTCTAAATTTACTCTGAGATTATTATTACCTAACCACTTTATAATGTTATGGATTATTTTATTTATGTCGTCATTATATGTTTTAGTATTGTTGCATGGAATAATAACAGATACATCGTCAGCAAAAAGTATACAATCGTGTAAAGTCACATCGGGGAGATCATTTATGTAGAGTAAAAAGAGTAAGGGGCCCAAAATGCTTCCCTGCGGTACTCCAACATTGTTCAAATTTATAGATGATCTAAACTTATTTAATTCTAAATTTTTATCCATCTTTGTTATTTCTACGTATTGCGTTCTATTATTTAGATAACTCTTAATCCACTCATTTGTGATTCCTCTTAACCCTAGTGCGTTACATTTGTTAAGAAGAATATTGTGAGACACAAAATCAAATGCCTTGCTCATGTCGAAAAATACCGTTGTAACTGGTGTACGCTTATCTAGATAAGACGATACTTTGTTTATTAATGTAAAGGCAGCTAAAGATGTCGATTTACCTTTCTGGAAGCCATATTGTTCTGGTTTTATTAATTTATATTTGTTCAAAAAATTTGTTATACGGACGTGCATAGCTCTTTCGAATATTTTTGAGATTGTAGGCAGAAGAGATATAGGCCTATAGTTCTCAACTGCAAATTTGCTTCCTTTCTTATAAAGTGGTTTAACGATAGACATTTTAAGGATTTCTGGAAAAATACCAGTGGAAAAGGATAGATTTATTAGGTAGGCCAATACCGATGATAATTCTATTGCACATATTTTCAAAACATTTGTTTGTATTTCATCGAATCCAGTAGAATTCGTGGAATTTAGTGAAGCAATAATTTTTTGAACCTCCTTTTCGTCAATCGGGTACAAAAAAATGCTGTCCTTACTATACTTAAAAAATTTATAGCTATCAGATTCATCATTTGTCTTCGAGTTCGATTTAGTCAAATTAATATAATAATCATTAAATGCATTTGCAATGTCAACAGGTTTGTCAATATTTTCATTATTTATAACTAGTTTGTCAATGTTTGTATTAGAAAATACATTCTGAGATTCGCCTTTGATTACATTCCATGTTGCCCTGCATATGTTTTTCGATTTCTGCATATACCTAGTATTAGTAATTTTCTGAGCCTGATTTATGCAACGTTTAAGAAGTTTTGAGTATTTATTATATTTTGCTTTGGAGTTTGCGTTTGGACTTCTATAGTAGGAAAATCGTAGGCATCTTTTTGTGATCGTAGATTTTTTTAAGCCCTTTGTAAACCACTTTGAAGACTTTGTTTGTGGTTTCGCTAGTATCTTTTTTACTGGGAAACATAAATCATAAAAGAGCTTAAGGTCGTCGTAAAAGTTAGTAAATGCTTTTTGCATATTTGATTCCTCAAAAACATTAGCCCATGTAAGATCTTTCACGCAATTACGAAATTTAGTCATGTTTTCTAAATTATAATCTCTTTTCTTGTAATACCAATGTGTATGTGGCGGTGATTTGCTAAGTGTTTGAAATCTAATATATTGGGCAGTGTCATGATCAGACAACCCAAGTCCTATAGTACCTGCATGACTATCAGAGACATTACTGATTATTTGATCCAAGCATGCAGTTTTACGTGTCGGACTTGTTATTTTCAGGGTAAAATTATGGTTTGCTATGATTCTTCGGAGTTCGTCAGTTTCATTTGTATTTTTTAATGTATTAATGTTAAGAGCGTTGTCACATTTTTCATGCAGAAATCGAGAATTTGGCAGATTTCGAAATGATTTTAGTCATATAATTTATTGTTATAGCTTCTTTTGACTTATATCATCGTAATTATCATACGTTTTTACGGAATGTCTATTGACAAAATCTCGTTCAAATTGGATTTTTGCCTACGAAAACAGCGAATTTCGAAAGCCCGATTTCCAGGTAACTCGCGAAGGCACAACTTTGAACTAATATTACAACAAATTTATTTCTAAGTAAGAAGATAGAATGTATTCATTAGAATAAGCATACCCTGAAGAAGAAAGTGTATTGAGAAAATTTTATGTTTAATTCATTAAAATGCATTTTTATCATGTCTAAGATAGTCAAAATTCGAGAAAATTACTGCAAGAAAACAGGTCACATCTCATAATCTAAAAGTCATTTGGCAACATAAACTACTTTATACTTAAGAAGAAACATAGTACTATTATTGTGTGAAAAAGAAAAAATATCTATCTTCAATCTTCAAATGAAAAATTAATTTGAAAATACTATAAAATCGGGTGCATCAAATGGCATAAATCAGTCGTGCTTTGGCACTCGTAGACGCCGGGTCTATGTCAGTTGACTGCCCACTGACGTATATGCGTCACGCGTGATTTTTTCGTAAATTGTAGTATGATTGAGTACTTTTGATCCGCAAGTATTTTTAATTTATTTGTTTAGGTAAATCGGACTTGTAATTTCTTTCTTTTCAAACTTTTTATTATTTTACTTACAGAATATGGGTAGAATAGANTTAGTTGCGAAAAGTACAGTTGCTAAAAGTTCATTTGGGAAATGAAACTTTGGCGATAAGTTGTTTGCGAAGTGAAATTTGGCGAAAAGTAATTTGGCCAAACGGAAGGATACCACCTGCATGACTATCAGAGACATTACTGATTATTTGATCCAAGCATGCAGTTTTACGTGTCGGACTTGTTATTTTCAGGGTAAAATTATGGTTTGCTATGATTCTTCGGAGTTCGTCAGCTTCATTTGTATTTTTTAATGTATTAATGTTAAGGTCTCCGGTTATAATAATTTTATGTTTTATTTTTAATTTAAGTTTCGCAAAGAGAACCTTCAATTTTGTAAAGAAAACTGTTAAGTTTGAAGTCGGTGTTCGGTAAATACATATTATTATACATTTTATTTCTGGAATCTCTATACCACAGCATTCAAACACA